CTGCCTTAGTGAATTGCACAGATGCGCCAATTTGGACAGCAAGTGCGGTATCCGCAGGTGCGAGGAATTGCCCGCAGATGCGGCCCCAGCTCAGATAAGTGACCTTCGCACCTGCGATGTTTTTTTCCGCAGGTGCGTGACCGCAGATGCGGCCCCATGCGCGCAAGTGCGGAAATCACTCGGCAGAAAAGAGGATTTCGAGGGTTTGAAATTTCATAACACAAAATTCGATTTAGAGCTCGGTGGGAGACAATTCCTTGAGGGATTTTGGAGGAGAACTATTTATTAACTAATTCTAACTCTATTTTGATCATAATACATTAATCTATTGTTGTTTTCCTCGTCTAATTAAGGAAATTGAGGGTAGAAGTTTGGAAATAGGGGAAAAGGTTCCCCAATTGAAAATCTGAGATTTGAATGGGAATTTGACGTCAGATTTAGATGATTTTTGTTCGAATGAACTCGTGAGTGAATGAGGGTTCATAATTTGTAATTTTTACCCGATTCCGAGATGTGGGTCAGGGGAGACGTTTTGGGCATTTTTACTAATTTCATGCTTTAGCTTCGAATTAATTAGCTAAATTAATTACTTGTAGTTATATTTACATTATGTAATTAATTTGAATAGATTTGGGCCATTTGGAGTCGGATACTCGTGGCAAGAACGTGATATCGAGTTGATTTGAGCGGTTCGAGGTAAGTGGCTTGCCTAATCTTGTGTTCGGGACTTTCCCTTAGGATGTTTGATATTAATTGATGTGTGGGCGCCGTGTACGTGAGATGACAAGTACGTACACCGGCTATTATTGCATAAATCCCGTTTTCCTTTCTAAATCATAAACTGTTTTTCCTTATTAAATTGCACTAATACATTTAATTGTTAAACTTAGACCATAGAAGCATGCTTACGTGTTTTAACTGCCTATTTGATATTCTGTGCTCCGTGCTTAGTTAAGTCCCTACTTTCCTTATCTGTGTTCAGTATAAATTATATAACTCGATGACATACCTGTCATTTCATCTTGTGTTGCATATTTAAATTGGGACTACGGATGTATTCCGGGAGATCCCCCTGTCGTGCATATTTATTTTGGGACTACGGGCGTATTCCGAGAAGATCCCCCAGTACTGCATATTTACTTTAGGACTACGGACGTATTCCGGGAGATTTTCATGTACTGCATATTCATTCGGAACTACGGGATGGTATCCCGGGAGATTCCCCATTGTGTCTACCTTGTTCTGAGACGAGAGCTCCCTTAACTGTTAAATTTTCGAGAATTTCTTTAACTGTGTTACCGTAAACTTTACTTATATCTTTTACTGTTTAATTTATTATATTTACTCCGGTAGGGCCTTGACCTGACCTCGTCACTACTCGA